TTAAATCTGGAGAACAAGATTTGTAGGTCAGGGAATCTCTACAGTACTTCATTATAATTCTGTTTGGTCAATAAATTGCAGACCATATTGCAGATTTGATAATATTTTGATTTCGATAAATACTTTAGCCTCAGAACTTTTGCAAAATAACATGTTTGTATCCATCAAGAGCATATTTAAGACCCTTTATATTATGCACCATGCGTACACCAATTTATGGACCTAATGTTAGCTTGCTTAGCTAGTTAGCAATATGCGACAAAAAGGCTAGAAATGAGAAGCATGCCTTTTTCTATCTTTGCCAGAAATCATAAAACCATTGTTTCAAAAATGTCTATAAACCTTAAAGGTAAATCTGCCTCCATTATCATTGTTACAGATAGATTGAGGAGAAGGGTCTTAGGGTCTTAACATTCAAATATTCTAATGTTGTTGTGTGAAACCTTTAGAAATAGACAGAAACCGATAGTGATGGTTAGCTTCATATTCAAGGTGACATATTTTAGTTTTTAGTACTCTTTGGGAAAAAAACCTTGGGTCGTTGGAGGTGGGTTGTTATGTAAACCAAGCGCGCGTGCACACACACACACACACACACACACACACACACGGCAAGGCAGTAATTGAACAGGCGTCGGCACAGTTTGGTGGCAACACCTGTTTGAAATTTATAATGAGCAGCCAGGGGAGAGGACCGCACACACAGTCATATAAACACACACACACACACAGTTGTCTGTGTCTTGGCTACGACTCTGTGCTGAGTTGCAGGTCAGAGAAGGGCTAAGAATAAACTGGCCCTGCTGAGCCTATCTATCTCTCTCACAAACACACACAATTCATTTTGCCTTTGACGTGTACACACAAATGCCCTCTGATTAACAAAAAGATCAAGAAGGGGGAAATGAATTCCTTCCTGCAGTAATGCGAGTCCAAACTGGTTCACAGTACAGGGTCACTGTGCTCTATATGTGTGATTTCCCACAGAGTGACACTGAATAAATTCCAACATATACTGACGATAACACAATTGCATATTCACATCATTCTCTCACTCCCTTTCTCCATCACTTCTGTCCTCAGTGCATTATTAAGTAGTGAATGAAGACATCTGTCTTTATCTTCTCCTCCTTCCATCTTTCCAAATTCATTTCTTCCACTTTCCATGCTTTAGGTCATTTGTACACCAAATTGATGGTAAGTTGATGTACCATTTTCCCTATGATGTGGATGGCAGGGTGGCCTCTTGGCTGCAGACAGCTTTAAATTAGAGGGAATCTGAAAGGGTACGCTGGATTTAATGTTGCACTTCTATAAAAGTTGGGGGACTCATAAGAGACAGATTTTTAAAAGAATCATCAAAAATTAAAGCAACAGAGATTGAGATATCTGGACGCTTAGTCACTAGTATGGGTCAAGCTACAAAAATAGCCCTACAGTTCCCATAATTCAACAGGATAAGATCTTTTGTTACATCCCCAATGCCTGGTAAATGCCCACATCTTTCAAACAGCATGCCCCTAGTTTATAACGCAGGCTGTTATGAATGTAGTCTCTACAGCCCAAGCAGAGATAACCCTAATGACATCACCATGACCTTTGACATCATCACGAGTTATGTCCTCTGACTGGACAAAGCTCCTTCACTCCCGCTGAAGACATTACGCACCTGTTTTCACCGTAGTAGTACTCATGACAAGCAAACTGACATGTGTAAATCTGGTGTAGTGCCCCTTTAAACACACACTTCAGCCAACATCTGCCTCACTGAGATATAAATGAACAGGATGTCAAATTCTTCTTAGCTCCTGAGAGCACTCAGCCGAAAACCTGACCTCTGACCTCTGATGAAGGGAAGTGAGAGAAAGGGGAATTTTCTTTGCAGGATCAACGTGGTATCACATTATTTTTTATGAATTAGAGCTCATGAAACTGAGCTTTTTCACTTCCTACTCCTCTCCTCCTGTCAGTTCAGCTCCAATGCCTTTTAGATTTTCCCCAAGAATTTTAAGCAGCACCTGGGTCACCCCTTCTTCATCCATCCCCCATATCCCTTGGTCCTCCCTCCTACTTTTACCAATTTACTCTTTTCCCAAACTGTTAAGGGAGCTCATTCCAACAGACAGGATAAATAAGAAAAGTGACAGATTAATGTGGGGTTGCTTAAATTCAGGAAATAGACAAAAGGGGTAAACAAAACTATTAAGTAGGTTGGAGAAAGACATACTCTAGGAGTGAGGGACAAGGGAGAATAGAGGTAGGTGTGGACAGTGAGTTATGTCTGGGTTGTGATCCAGCTAAATTGCCTTGGCAGTAAGTCCTTTTTCTCTGAGTAAAGGTTTAGACAGAGATGAATGGATGGAGAAGATGAGGAGAGTAATAAATAAAGGGAGGAGGAAGAGGTGGTGAGAAGAGAGAAAGAAAAGAAGACAGGAAGTGAGAAAGAGAGGAGGAAGATAAAGGTGTCAGGTAGAGGCAGAGGAAGGCAATAAGGGGAGGAACATCGGGATGAAGAGTCTGACAGTGTAAATAAGTAAAGGTGAAAGGCAGAAGGGAGGAAGATGCAAATGAAGAGGAGTCGAGGGTGCGCAGCAGCGGGTGAGAAGGGAGGGAGGAGAGACATGAGATGACAGGGAGGTGAGGGTGGAGGGGAAGGTGAAGAAGAGCGGGAACGAAGGTGGTGGAGGAGAGGGGGAGGATGACAAAACTCACGCTGTGTGGAAGAAAATCTAAAAATATGGCAGACAGAAATATTTGGGATGGGAGGAAGGGGGGAGAGATGTTAAAGAAAGCCTGACAGAGATGCGAACAAGAAAGAAAGAAAATGGCTACACTGAAATAATCCAAGGTCAATGGAAAGCAGAAATTTAATGAGGTAAAGACAGAAAAGAGAGGAGGAAAAAGGGGGATGGAAAGAGGAAAGACCCAAACGAGCACAGTGGATAAAAGCAGGTTTACATTAGTGTAGAGGCTGGAGCTCAAAGGCACAATGATGAAAAGAGGAGAGAAAACTCACAGAGAGGGGTAGCAGGAAGAAAAGACATGAAAAAATAAAGAGGAGGAGGCACATTATGAGAGAGCAGATCCTGTTTGCACAAGTTTATTTTTATTCTGGTTTGTCCATCTTCTTAGAAATCCCCAAAAGAGCAAAACACGCTGATACAGATGAACTATGACGGATCAACTGTAATGCCAAAGAATCTCTGACATTATTACTGTGGACAAGGTACAATCATATTTAATCTAAGGAGACTTTTTATTTTAAAATAAATAGGCATAATGGAAAAATAGCACAAAATATGGCCACCTGGAGGAGATATGTTAAAAAACGCAGATCAGCAGTCATTTCTGTCATTGTGGCAAAAATGTGCTGAACTTCATTCGCCTAATGTGTTTATTGCATCAAATGTATCTGTTTTAAAATAATTTTAAAGGTGTTGAATCCATTGTGTAACTACTAAAGAAATTTACTATTTTAGAACACTACTTTTTAGTGATTACATGTGCTTAATAAAAGTGACTTTAATGTCCTCATCAAAAGTTATAGGATCTACAGCTATTTCAACTTCAATTTCACATGAACACACACATGCAAACTCTGCCCTTCTATTTCTTCTGGCCTGCTTTGAAAGCTTCAAACAAACACGTTTGCTCACCTTTACCTTTGAGGACCCTCACTGACATCATGTATCCCCGAAGCCTTGATCACAACTATAGTACATGCCTAACCCCACCCCTTAATCGTAACCTACATGTAATTTTAATCTCAACCCTGAAGCCAAAGTTAAAACGCCCACTCACAGGGCCTAAAACTGAAATAGGTCCTTGCAAGGACAGAAGTACAAGAGCACACACACACACACACACACACACACACACACACACACACACACACACACACACACACACACACACACACACACACACACACACTCACTCAGGTAGACACACACTCCATCTTCTTAGTCTTTCTCTGAGGGCAATCCACAGATGAACAGCTTTTGAATGGCCTTGCCAACATTTGCCCCCCCCAGGCACACAACCACACACTTACAGTGTACACACGTACACACGCACGCACACACACACACACACACACACACACACACACACACAGACACTTGTATTATCATGCTTGTGAGGATACTCATTGACGTAAATACACTGACTACTCCCATACCGTAACCCTTAAGTACTTATTAGTGTTCAGGCCTAACTCTAACCCATTTCTGACCTTATCAATCAAACATCATCTTGAAGGGAACCAGCAGTAATGTCCTCACTCTCAAATTGGTCCTCACAAGTACACAACCACACACACAAACACAGAGGCTTTGCTTTACAGGCCCCAGGAGGCACTGAGGAAACTGCATTCCCAACCGCTTTATGTATTGGTCAATTTAACACTGCTAACATCAGCATATTAAAAATGCATGTGCCCAAGGACGCAAGAGCAATATTGTGTGTGTGTGTGTGTGTGTGTGTGTGTGTGTGTCTGTGTGTCTGTGTGTGCACACACATACGTGTGTGCAAGCATTTTAATGCAGAGTAGCCTACCTTGAAGAGTGGCATTATTACACTGTTATCTGCCTAATGGAGCTATTTATCCTGTGAATGCATGTTAAACACTCAATTAAACTAAACAGCAATTTCTGAATGGGAGTCAATCACACAGAAAGGAAACAGAGAACGAGGAATGTGTCATAGGTGTAAATAAAGAAAAAATAAATAGATAGAATAGATAGATAAATTCAAGATATATAGAGTGGGTTTTTTAAGTTATTGGGCCACTGATCAACTTCCCTGGAAATTGATTGTCAATGCGGCTGCTAAGTTACAGCCCTGACTTGGAAATCTTTTCAATGCCCTGTCTATGTATTGGAAAAACACTGTGTAGGAATGCAAGGGTTCAAAGGAGTTTGGGATTTTGTCAGATGTTTCAAAGTGTGTACAAAATGTGCAGTAAAGTGGCTAAAATAATGACATGTCACTGTACTTACATAGTCTCGTCATTCTGAAACTCCAGCTTGCCGGCTACCAGTTCGTAGTCCTCCCCTCCTCTAGCGGTGCCATCCACGGTTCGGTAGGGGACTGCCACCAGGCCTCGGGCCCCCGAGGTCCTCAGCACCTTCAACTCCATCACACCTACGCTCTCACTTACCCTCTGACTGGCAGTCTCAAAGGTAAAGATACCTGAAAAGAAAGAAAGAAAATGAAAGAAGCATAACAAGAAAATAGAGTACTTCACAGGGGAGAAACACTAGAAGGATGTGTAAGATGAGGTTGATAAACACCTACGCTCTCTCTCTCACTAGCTTTCTCTCCAAGGTGTACCGTATATATAGTGAAAGAGATAATAGATTACCACCCACTCTCTCTAGATAAAAGATAATAAGCATTAGGTGAACGCCCACTCTCCTCTCATCCACCCTCACCTTAAATCTCTTTAGATGTTATCAAACTTCTGTAACTGAAAAAAGCTGCGACATTGCAGGGACAGGAACACTTTGAACTTTCTTGTGAAACCTTTTTGTGGATATCCTGGGACTATGGAGCAGAGCAATAGACTCAAAATTTATTACAGAACCAGTTCTGAATGGGTACTTTTATCACTTTGTCCGTTTTACAAAGAAATGCTTAGACAGTGTTTTGAATTGTGTGCTCATTTGGACAAAACTGTAATTACAAAAAAATAGGGAGTAGTCAACTACATGTAATTAAACTAGTAGTTGAACTACTACTACAAACTATTTTGGGCCATAAAAAGGAAGGAATGATTTGATTATTTAAATGTACCATTAGATCTCTATTGTAATTTAAAGCTAATATTGCTTGCACTTTGTTATAATTTTGTATCACATGCACATTGTCAATTTGATCGTTTCTTTTTACATTCCTCAAACTACTTTTTCTAAGTGTCTTTAGTTAACCAAACTAGATTTCTCCCAAGGGTAGCTTTACTGGAGTTCATCTTCTTCCAGTGTGAACTAATTGGTAGCTTGTAAATGTACTTTAAAAGTAGCTTCCCAACACTGCCAAAAAGTAGAAATCCAATTCTTTGCTAATATAGAACTACTATAGGACCTTTATTAGTGATCTGAGGGGGTTGTGAGTATAGTTAGTTATATCACTTCCTTTCATGCAGAAACTTACTAGCTGGGGGTGCTATTACGCTAGCTGTGGCTTAGTCCCATCTGTGTTTGAACATTTCCTATATCACTCCAGGGCTCTGTACATTACTGCATGATGTAATTCAAATTACAGTGTAACTAACGGAGTGTTGAGGTCACAGGACTACCTGTTGCTGTGAGTTTTCACAGTTGCTTACTGTGCAGGAGCTTGAAAATGGCAGCCGGTGTTGAAATAAAGTAAGGAAATTTTTTCCTCAGTAGATAGCCTAGCTTTCTAGCTTCCATTTTCTGGAATAACAGTTACAGATTCAACAGCATGATGGGTCCAAATGTTGAATGTTGTAAGGGGACAGATGCCTTACATTGCTGAAGAGGGGGGCTTCTATACAGTAGTCCACAGTACATGTATATATTGTAGAAATGCAAATGTCCAAAAACTGTTTCATTCTCTTCTAAAATATGTAAAATATACACAACAGCTGCAGCATCATTATAGTTTATAATCATTTACATGGCAGCGAGGAGGATTCCAATTTCAGTTCGCCTTTAACTACAATGTATACATTATCAGCTACATTAAGATTCCTGTGATATTATTCAGGGGTTTCTCTTACCTGCATGATCGTCATCGTAGATGGTCACTGTGGCCGTGTGGTTGTCACCCAGCACGGCTTTGGGGGTGGCACTGGCATCCAGCGGGACGGTGCCGATCTCAGGATAACCCACCACTCGAGGGTTACTGAGGTGAACATAGAAATACTCATCCTCCTCAAAGATGTCGTCGTCAATCACTCCGACTGTGATCTCTGGTAAAAGAATTGTCATTTTAGGATGTTGATTTTGGCACAGAATAGTTTGTGAATTATTCTTTATGTAACATAATTTCAATAATAAACCTTAAAAGCCAGTGGAAAAAGTTGCCTAAGGTGGTGCAGGTGACCTCTGTTATTTGAGCCTCAGTCTCAATGACATGTTTTTTGAAAATATGTCATAAACTATTGCTGTCACACTTATTTTTACCTTTGAGGGTCTCTCCTGGCTTAAACAGCAGTGTTCCCTCTGCAAACTCATAATCTGAACCTGCGTTTGCGGTACCGTCCTCCGTGCGATAATCCACCTGGGGAAGATAGGAGCACAGAGAGACGGGGAGCGGGGTGAGACGAGGGGGAGGGAGAGAGACAAAAAGAGCCGTCAAAGATGAAACAGAAGTGAGCAGATATGAAAAGGGCAGATAAACACAAAGGAAGAGGGAGAGCACAGAGTACAGAGAAAAGGAGAAAGAGAGAGAGAGAGAGGAGGACGGCAAAGAAATGGAGGAGAGGCATTTGGGGAGATGTGAACAGAGGGTGAGAGAAAACAAGAAAAACAGCTTCATTAAACTGAGCCCTCTGGTCAGATACTGTCTGATAATAAAGACTTTGAAGATAGTACAACAAAACTTTCCCTGTATCCTCTCCTTTCTCTCCGTCCTCTCTCCATATGGCCTGTTTATTAACCCTCTCTATCCTTTACAGAGGGTTACAAACGTACATACGTACCTCTTAATCAGATAACAGTGATCAGATTCTTTACCTTAAAAAGGGAGAAATCAGATTGCTTCAAAATAATCTGTGGTTGTTTGTAGGCAGAGCTGAGTCGGTGACTCAGTGTCTAGTTGTAGATCTTGATGAAATGTGTATGAGTGACACAGCTCTATTCTTATTTTTGAATGCATTTATTACATTAGCAGATGTTGCTGGGACTACTATATACTGAGGCTTTGTAATAATTTTAGATGTGTCACACATCAGGAACGCTGCTTTTGAAATTTTAGTCTAAAGATTAAAATGTGAGAAATCATATCTTCATGTGATTATAAAACAACAAAAATGATAACTTGATGGGTTGTCTTTAATTATTTATGGATAGCCTGTCAATAATATAGCTTGGCTTTAAGAAATGTATCACTCTAGGTTCAAGTTAATATATAACATTTTGTATATGCCTTCAATTAGTCACCTAATTTCTCAAATTCAGCACACAAGCAAGCTGTATATAAGGATTGCATCTGCAAGGAAGAGGTATGGATGGCATAGCAGGAATTTGGTTTAAATATACCAACTACTCTAAACATAATGCTCCTATAATCAGTATTTTTATTGGTTTTATTTTATTGGCTCAAATGTGTGAATGTTAATGTGGTTTCTCATACTGACAGAGTGACAAACCCACAGTGAATTATCACACTGCTCGGTTCAACTCCACAGAATTCTTTATCACCACTTTAGCATTTAAATCATTGTTTTGGTTTTCCAGCATGCAGCTTTACTGCTCTGGTTGACTGTGACAACTCCTATCAGACGTTCAAACGCAACCGGCAGCTGTTTACAACAACTAAGCTGTAAAAACCCACCTGCTCAGCACCAAATGGCAGACAGACAAATTAGCGACTAGCTGGTGAACATACAGATAATTTTCTGAGGAGTAGGTGGAAAACAAAATAGAGCTAAAAGGACACAAATATATTGGACTTACATTCATCAGTTGGATATAAACTCCAATCCAAATATAAGCTAATGCTGCTCCTAAGCAACTGTTTGCTAACAACTTAGCTATATTAGTTTAAAATGTGTCAGTCGTTTGACAGCTTGTGGCAGAATTATCACTTAATGAAGCTTTATGTTTGTAGTTTCCCAAGTGTGAACCTCTTATGATGCCACGCATTGGTTTCTTGAGTACCGTTGGTATTATGGTTGTTGACATGTTGGGGTTGCAGCCAGCGCTCATTGGCTGGTTGCTTAGTTTTGACTCGTTCGTAGCAGGAAAGAATGGCAGCCTCACGTCACACACATTCTCATTTTACAAATAAACAGTACACTAAAATAGGTTTCTGAAAAGATTTTGGGGGAGAAATATAGCATACCCTGCTATAGCATCCATTTATTCTAAATGGTACCATCATTTACTAAATGAATATGACGTATGGAAGAAGACTTAAAACGAGCGATTGAGACCATAAATTAATTAGGAAACCGTTTACTGAGCTAATAAATCAAGTGAAAATTTGTGTAATTTTCCCATAAGACTCAGTTATTTTTTACAGCCTATAGAGCTGCACCCTGCTGGCAGTTACAAATAATGTAGATATTCCAGTGTCGGCTTAACTTAACAGACTTGGAAGCTTTGTCCACTAATTATATACTGCCAATGGCCATTCCATGATACATAAAATATATTTCCTGTGAAAATGTTTGAAACTTTTTTTTAAAATGGTTGCCTTGTGCCAAAATTGCTAAACCATTTAAGAGGATAATGTCCTCTTTAGATTACTTAGAACTTCTTTTGTATTTTTAAATAGGCTCATATTGCAATCTGGGATTGTGAACAGATTCTTGGAATGTTTGACCATTTCAACAAGTGTGCCATCAAGTACAAGTAGCCTCCTTGAGACCCTCTGTTTGGTGAAGATAATAATTTCTTTGTCTCTAAAGAGCAGCCATGCCTGAAGAGCTTGTGTGTGGGCTAAATAGGCCACTTTACTTTACTTCAGTAGACGGCAGACTGAGGCCATGCTATCAGCATTCCTCTACAGACATGTTGCATCATAGTTTCAATTGTATACAAGGAGAAAAAGAGAGGAGACACAGCCGCGCAAAGCCCCTGTGAGCAGATCAGATATCACTACACTGACACAGACTCTCTTTGGGAGACTTGAAAGAAAATTTCTTATTCAGAGTATCAGGCTAGCATTAAGCCCGGGATCAATGAGCTTTTCCAAAAGGATATGTGTTGTCTTTGAGTTACAACCTGAGCTGAAAGCAAAAAATTTGGAGAATAAAGTGTTTTGTGTTGTGTCTCCAGTTCTCTTCTATCACCTACCTCCATCCTTGTTCCAGCATTCAAAAAAACAACAAGGATACTCAAAGCCTCTAGACTGAGAACATGTTATGGGTAAGATCAGATGAAGACCAGGAAAACTGCCAAAGGTGTGAGTAAAATCAGTTCAGAGTATATTTTTGTTTTCTCTGGTCTCTGTTTGTGTATTTTGGCTTCTCTCCCTCACACACACACACACTATCTATCCTTCTGAACAACTTCACACACACCTTTACAGTAACTCCAGGGTCTCCTCCGTGTCTAGCAACGGTCAATTTCAAGGAGCCACAGTTTTCAAAGCACTGGTACAAAGAGGGTTCAAACTCCATCCTGATGGTGTGAGGGTCGTCCTCCGTGGCCTGGGTCTCATGGCTGCTCACCACCTGGAAAAACAGGCAGGAAAAAAGCAGACGTATGAGGTCAGAGTCAGGAACGACATGTTTTTGGCTGCAAGTAACAGGCCCAGTTGTAATGAGGGCGGATTATAGGTATCTCACCTTGCGAGCCTGGTCGGCAGCGTGCTTCTTGAGGATGTTGCCAGCTCCGATCATCATCCTGGTTGCCTGGATACGGTAGAACGCTCTGCTCTTCTGCTGCTGCATCAGGACCTGATCAACAAAACCAACCAATTAACAAAGTGATCTGTTGTATTCAACATGTTAATCTAAACTTATTAGATATTTTTAGACAGCTACAATTTAAAGGGTTAAGCAGTGAATCTCTCTTGTGAAATTCTTACGTCTTCACAGGGAGGTTAGAGGTCAAAGGTCAGCTACAGATTCAGTGAGTTACTTTAGGACACTTAGGTTTGGATGCTTGAGGTTTGAACCCAGATCCTACACTTCTTCTGAGCACTTTCTCTAAGCACTCAGGAATGATTTGACATTTTAGCCGTCCACTTCCTTTAACTTCATAATGGACAAAACTGTAGCTGCCGCTCTTTTAGCTGCAAACTTTAGATCAAATGAGCCTTATGAATCTGTTATTAATGACTTCAATAGAAATGTATGGATGAGCAGCAATTTAATATCCTAATGATCCACCAAATAGAAACTGAACAAATTGGCCACTGTAGTTGTGGAGATCATTAGATTGACTGTGGCCTCAGAGCTGGGAATGCTGTGATTTATTTGAATTAAAGGCAATTTCACTCCAGAGTCGGCATAAGATCTGCATCTCTTTGGAGGGATGGCTTCAGTAATTGTTACATTAGTTAAAAACTTGATTTGTTTCTGCCGAGCAAGTTGACCTAACTTAATGAAAGTCTGATTCTAAGTCCAAAGGGACCACAAGGGATTACTATTTCTTTTTATTTAATGATTCATTATGACCACAAGAACCTTAATTTATCCAGTGGAGTTTAATCTCCAGAGCAGCTGTCATTCTTATTTACAGCACAAGGCTGAGAGAGTAGCTGCAGGGGAGGGAGAATTAAATGCAAACAAACATCTGGGAGTTTCCCAGTGCACCTTGCGGTGCCTGCCAAACTCCTTTGCTTCCCTCCTTCACTCCCCCAAAAAAATGACTTGGAGAGGAGGCAAGGGAAGGAAGAGGGGGAAGCAGAGACTTGGACAGCTTCTATAGTTCAGTATGAATAGCGGATTAAACAGAGGAATCCTTAATGTGCCAGGTTGTTGCTTAGTATTCATAAAATAAACATGTTTCTACATTTTAAATTAAGTATGAGTAAATCTTATAACAAAGAGGTGTGTGTCTATGACAGCCATCTAGTAGCAGCTCCTTTCTTTTAGTCAGGAATGAGAACAGATTAACCGACTAGTCGATTAATCTGAGTGTGACGCACTGACAGTTGAAACTCAACTATACTAACTTCAAATTAGAACAATGCACAACACACTCGCTTATAAATATGATTTAACAAATCGCAAATCTAAATTCCCCAAAAAATCTTAACTCAAGGTCCTTCTCTGTTACAGAACTTTTAACCACATCCGCAGATGCGGCTGAAAGCTCAGGAAAGAAGGTAATAAGTGGACCTTACGTTACACATTTTTTGTCAAGCTACAGCTGCGAAGTTCAAGACTGAACTTTCACGCTCACATAACTAACGATTATGTAACTTACCTGATAAAAAATCCCCTGGGTGGCAGAGGGGTTGCATGTTACGGTGCTGTCAATCAAGCCAATTGACACCTTCCTCTCTTCAGACTAGTGGTTTTATCAGCACATAACATTACTGTACATGAGGAGTGACCTGAAAAACTAAACTAAACTAATTTATTTACTCTGTTGTTGTTAATGGGTGTGAGAAAGACTAAAAGGGAGTGTATTGCTATCTGACACTCAGCCAACACTTTAATTAACTTTGTTTATATTTGGTGCGTGTGCTTGGTTTGGTTTGGTTTCCATTTTCTGGAAATAAATGAGATTAGATGAGATGAATAAGGAGGTTAATTCTAATCAATTTTACAAAGGCAATGCAATGAATAGTAATGGAAATGCAAATGAATTTGTTAAACAACTAAGTTGCTCAGGAACATTCTGAAATGTTCTCCGTATAACAGCTGCATGCTGTCCTACCAGCTAATCACCTAAAACACCTTATTTACAGCTGAATGTGTCACAGCATCATCTCCAACACTGTCTCCCTCAGAGGAGTGGCAGTTGAAATGTGATGGATGATGTTATATTTTACATGATTTCATTATGTTCTTCTTTACCTACACAATTATGAGAGTGGTATCAATACTCTCCACTGACTCTGGGCAGAAAAGCAAATAAGCATATTTCCCATAATGTCAAACTATTCCTTCAAAAATATATACCCCGTATCAATAAACTTACATATATAATGTGTAAGTACATTCCTCCTAACCTGATAGTTAGCCATCTCAATCAGCTGCTCCATGTCTTTATCCGGGTGCCTCTGCTTCAGGTCCTTCAGCGTCCTCGCCATGTCCCTTCTTGCCTCGTCCTCCTCGTCCTTTGCTCCTCCCTCCTCCATCATCCCTCCGTCCATCCCGCTGTGACAGTTCAACGCCAACTGTCCGTCCAGCTCCAGCATGTCCATCTTGGTGAACCCCCCCGGACCCAGTGCTCCACCCCCTACTCCTCCGTCCATGCCTCCTAACCCTCCGTCCGCCCCTCCCTCGGTCTCGATGATGATGCCACGGTGCTTGTCAGCACGGTAACGTTTGCGGACGTACTTGTAGAAGAGGAGGCGACGGTCGGCCACCCAGGCCTGGACCACGCAGAGGGGGAAGAAGAGGAAGGTCAGCACCGCCTCCCATACCTAGAAGAGAGGAGAGTTAAAAGCTCCTTCCTTTGTCAATCCTTCCCTTCCTTCCTGCCCAACATTCCTCACTTAACAGCTTTCATGTCTATCCTCACCTCCACCTCTCCAGGGGAAAACACACTCAGAATCAGGTAAAGCCAGATGTAGGCAAAGATACTCCAGGCCGCCGTGACGAAGAACACCCGAAGGTGTTTGATTTTTCGTGTCTCACCATCAGGAACCACGTACACACACAGGGCGATGATGACGAACATGTTGAAGGCAGCACTGCCCACGATGGTGCTGGGACCCAGAGAGCCAGCCTCAAAACCATGACCACACACCTATAGTTGAGGTGAAAATCAGATTACTGTGTTCCCATTACGTTCTGTATCAGTTAATCTAATGTGTAACCACCCGGCTCATATTGTACTCACCTCAATAACGGACAGCAGTATCTCGGGGGCACTAGAACCCAAGGCCATTAGAGTGAGATTAGAAACTGTCTCATTCCAGATCCTGACTGTGGCTGTGGTGGTCTCACCATTCGGCCTCTTTATAGTGATTTCCTTCTCCTGGGAGGTTATGACCTGGATAGGAGAAGAGAGAAGAAGAGAAGAAAAGAGAAGGAGGCAGCAACAGGAAAGGAAAATACAAGCAAAACATAGGCAAAGAGAGTAGAGGGTGCAGAAAACAGAGAATAAAGTGATAAGGAAGGCAAAAGGAAAATAAATAAATAGCAAATGCAACGAAGGGAAAGAAAAGGAAAGGATGTGCCAAAAAGGAAAAGCAACAAAAGGCAAGGACACAAAAGATGATGCACCAAAAGGAAAGGAAAAGTAAGAGAAGGAAAGGAACAGAAGGGAAGTTAATAGAAAAGATTATAATGTTTGTCTGTGTTCATTTTATTTTGTGTATTTCTCAGTTAATTATTTTACTTTAGTAATGTAATATCATGAGGAGAAACTCATAATGGAACCTTGCCTACCTCTATAGAAGACATGAATCGGTCCGCTATAATACTCATTCCCAGGAACATGTAGATGAGTGCTACAAAGTAAACAATGGCCCGTGCCACTTTGTCCCCAACAGAGGGGTTCTGAGGGTTCCACACAGGCAGTACCACTCCTGAAATGTAAGAAGAGGGGAAAAAAAGGATAATCAAACAGAGTTTCGCAGCAATTTTGTGTAATAACCTCACTAATCTCTCCCTTTCTAATCTTGTATAGTCCACAAAAAACCTCAGCGGCAGTGCAAGCTGATTAAGGGTTATAATAAGTGGGAAATTTTCCACATGGTCCCATTTGTCCTACTAAAACTTATAAGAAATGGATCAATGCGCTCTAGTTTCAGGGCAGTAAATTGCCACAATCAGCTGATAACTCACCAGTGATGCACTTTTGCTCGACAGGCAATGAAACACTTTAATCTTTGTATGGTGTGGTGTTCCTGCTGTGGGTTTGCTATGAATATTCTGCTGACATTGTTTCTGGTTCTAGCTTTAACTAGTGCATTAGTAAACTGGCACCTGGCAAACAGATCTCTTTTCTGGTAGGCGACAGGTCACACAGAATGAGAGGCCAAAATATACCGCAGTAAATGCCAGGATTATGTCGCAACAAAAGGACCACTGTGTTTTCAGGTCACACACTAGTGAAAACATACATATGAATATAATATTCCATTTCTGCCAATAGATCCTCCTAAATGTTACACATTGGACCTTTAAGGAGTCATTTGACTAGTATACTGGTACCACATAAGAAATATACAATAAACTATAGAGTTGTGAAGTAACTCCAAAGTATGCTACTATTTGAAATAATCTTTACCCCAAATGGCTGAATATTTACTTAATACAGTCTATTGTTCACTCTCCTATACATTCTGAAGGTATAATGCAACCAAGACAATGGAGACTTTGCTACTAAATCTGCAGGATACTTTAGCTGAGTAAAATTGTAAATGCATTAATGCAGTCAAACCATAATAATTATAATTTACCACCATTGTAACATAATAAATGATAGTGAATTTCATGCTTTTTGTTTCTTACAAAAGAGGAAATTGAATTCATTGAATAAGCCACTTTAGAAACAAAGTGAGACATTTGGAAAATGGAGAGATGGTATTGGGTGCAGTGTTTCTCTTCAAACAGGGTGTATGTTGTGTTTTTGTCTGAAATCTGCTGCATATCAATAGTTAACTTTACTGTTTTGAAACATCATAATGCTAAGCTGTGATGAAGGTTCATCATATCTGATACATGGCTGGTACACAGATAACCAAAATGGCTTAGCTCTTTCCGTGACCTAACCCTTTAGGGTTAAGTACAGATATCTGTAATCATGTTAAGCCCTCTCTATATGTATTAAACTGCAGTTTCCTCACAGATCAGACCAACCCACCTTCCTGACAGGGGTCTCCACTAGCTGAGCAGTTTGTGTCAGATGAACCTGCGTGGACCGATCCAGGACATGACAGGAGGAGAAAGCAGGAGAGGAGGAAGAAGAGGAGGGATGTGGAGAGACGAGAGGGGCGGAGAGAGGAAGATGGAGCCACAGACATGGCTGCTGGAGCCATTTCTGCTGATGCTGCTGGGACTTCACTTAGACTCTCCTGGAGTTCTACTGGGTCTGCACAGCGTGGAAAGACGTCCAAATCCTTAAAAAGGTAGACAGAGAAGAAGGAAAGTTGTTTTATTTCTGTTGGTTTTAATTGTATTCACAATAAAGACACCCTCTGCTGCTTTTAAATCAGCTCAAGTGCCTTTAATTAAAGCATGTGGAAAGTGCTAACAGGTTGAGGAAAAGCATCCCCAGCTGGCCTGTCACCCTAAACCCTATAGCTGCAACTAAGAGATGACATGCTTCATTTTTAGAAAAACTCAATAGAACGTGGTTTCAAAGTGCTTCGTGGTGGATTAAAAACAGATCAAATGCAATAAAAGGCAATAAGAGCAATAATGAAAGGTCATTACATAAAAGCGAATCTGAAAAAACAAGTTTGTAGAAATACTGTAAATGATGATACACCTCTTGCCAGCATCTGTAACAAAGTTAAATAAAGTCTATAATAAAGCTGAATCTATCGGGCCAGAGCTCCTCAGCAGCCCAGATGAAAAAAAATCAATCACCTCTTGTTTTTAATCTAGACTGCAGTCAATAGAAACTTCTTTTTTAGTTGGACCACAGAAAAAACAGTAGATTACACATTACTCTATCTTTAATGTGGACTTTAGGATTGTTTTTAATTTGGACTTTGCGATTTTCCAGAACACCACAGGCTATAAACTGGCTCATATAAGGCCCTTAAATACGAACAGAGAACTGAAATCAATTATGATAAGAGATAAGCAACGTAAAATGTAACTGGGTTGATGTAATCTAGGCAAATGCAAAGTTTTGGCTTTATAATTCAGGGAAGAGTACATTGAAGCTAACTGGAGTCATGGCTCCCAAAGCCAGACCAATTGCTATAAATTCAAGTGGTGATACATTTTCACAGCAGAAAAAAGAATATGTAAAAACATCCACAGAATCTTCCCACAACCACACAGCAACTTTCAGCTGCCTATCCAAATGCTCAGCATGTCCCACATGCAATAAAATGTGGTGAAATTGTTGATTTATGCTTTTGAAGACACACTATACAGTGAATAGAGGCAGCTAAGCCTCCAGGGTCCACTAAACAATTGGTTAAGTTCAGATTTTGGATGGTTAAAGCTGCACTGTTCATATTTTTATATGAACAAAGGGTCAAGTGATTATGTGTAATGTGAAACAAGTGGCTTGTATTGATAAAACCACAGATAATTATCACCAGACCCTGCAGTTCCCCTCAGCTCTACAGAGCTTTTTAGCATCTTTCAGCTCTTTGTTTTGGTTTTACGGCCCACAACTTTATTGTTTTAATTCAGCGTCATTTACAGCTACATCTGTTGGCCGTTTTCAGCAAAAAAGCTCTGATAAACCCACTGTATTTTACATTCGGCAGACAAAGTGAGCAACCAGCTGGTGAACATAACGGAACATTTATTAACTAAAGAGACAGATATTTTTCGCAGAGACCAAAAAACAGAGGTAAAAGGAGAGTGGATGTGCCACCAGGCCAAATACTTACAATAAAAACTATTGTATCTCCTTGTCTGCTTAATGTGTAAGCTTTATACAACTTTATATGGTAATAGTGTCATTAGCATGTTTATAGTTTGTTGCGCTGCCCCCAAGTGCAAAAAAACGAATCAATTCATTCACGTTTAAGGTTAGTATTAAGAATATAGTTGGGACTAAAATCTCTCTCTTCCAAGGCATGCCTTAAAAGGCATCACACAGGGCAAAAGCTTCCCCAGTATCTCTGCTGCTGCTTGTGAATCTTTTGGTGTGTGCAGATGGTGAAGGCCAAAATGTACAAACTTTTAATGCAGGGCATTCCCAAGTGGAAATAATGGCCTTAAATTAGGTCTTTCTTGTGTGAATGTTTACATACAAGCCATAGACCACTTTATGTGTGTGTAGCCAGCTGTAAATGCTGTACTTGGCTGCAGATTTCGTGCAGCTATATACAGTGTTTGGCAGTAAACACTGAGCTGAGCTGACAACAAGCAGTCGATGGCAGAGATACAACAGCAATATGTTTTCATGACGAGGAAGCAAAGTGGCTTTTTAGTTGGACCAGAGTTAATATGTTGTGTGTGAAAACGGAATAAAAAAGGGAAGAGGAACAGTTTGAACCGGCAGTGTTGGGTCAAATCAGTGCAAACGGATACACAGAGAGGAACCAAAACATATAGACAAATACACAGTGTCAGTCAGCTTTGGAGTGCTGAAGTTTGTGACAACCTTCGCTGCCAATCTGCTTTTTTTTCTGCCTGTTTTTCAGATATCTGGTGGGTGGGGCAAAGGATCATCACAGGGACCCAGTGTTCCCAGTCTACTAACAGTCTCTCTTTCCCTGCAGACACCCAGTTGGTTATATTGCAACTTTGGTTCCTCTTCCCTTTACTTGGTTTACATGCACCTCACAACACTTGCACCCTACTGCGCTACTGATTCCACTGACCTCCACTACCCATGTGTCTTTATACTTTTGTTATGTTAATTAATAATAAATTACTTTAAAAATGGTGTGTGTAACACTTTGCCATGGCCTTACGAGCCAGGTTGCGACAAGTTGCTGACCTTGTACTTGCACACTCTCTCACACACACTTCCAAATACTGAGACACACACACACACACGTTCCACACTCTGAGTTAGTCAGCCTTGGGCAAAAAAATTGCTGACCCTGTCTTCACACAAGCACATACGCACGCACGCACGTACGCACGCACACACACACACGCACACTTATATACACAGTTAGTCATCTGTCGTGACATTAGCGGGGAGTTGCTGACCCTGTCTTCATCTATCTTCCAGGGTCTTGCTGCTCTGACAACAACCTGTCACTTTAATACTCAGCTCGCTTCTCTCTTCCACCGTCTATCCCGCTATTGCTTCCCTCCACTCTCTTAGTCTCTCTCTCTTTTTTCACCCTTTTCAGTCAGACATTAGACTTCACATCCTTAAGCTTAAAGCGGGGTTGTCCAAACTTTTTCCCCTGGCGGGTCAAAACTGAAACTTGATGGGGGGGGGGCACAGCTGCTCAAGATGCCCCCAAAGTTAGAGACTTGATTCATCCGTAATACTTGACCTTCTTTCTCTTCTCTCTTCTTCTTTTACCTGCTTTAAAATCTTGTTTCCCCCCCTCACTCCTTCCCACCTTCTCAAGCTCCACCTCCCTCTCAGCCTTTTTATCAGGCTCCCTCACCTCCTGCCTTCATTTCTTTCTGTGCAAGTAATGTCCAGTCGTCTCTCTCTCTCTCTCTCTCCGCCCACGCACCACTTCACGTCTCTAGCACCTCTCCATATCCCCTGCTCACGCTCTCTTTCACACCTCCGATCTGTCCAGCCTCATTGCTCCTTTCATCTCATCCTCATCCGTAAACAAATCTGTCCCATTTTTAGTCCACAATATGTGTCATTGCAGGCACAATAGTAAACAAGCATAATAGAAAAAGATCAAGGATTGCTCATGAAAAGAGAGCACAAATTGGCTGGCTTAGGTTTTTTTTTTATAGCATTTAAACCTTAGCTGGATAGTGACCAAAAGTAATGGAAGGGAAAGATGAATTTAAATAGCAACACAGTGGCTATATACAAAATTAAATGGCTCTGGTTAAATATAATATTGTGGCTGAATTTCAGCTTAAGAACTCAGTTTTCTGTCAAGGTATTCAGAATTTGCATATACTATTTGTGCTAAAAAAGAAAAAGCTATTAGCCTTTTCTTGGGCTGAGTCAAGATGGTCTTTTCAGAGCTGACTTAAGTGCAACCCTTTAATAATAATGTGCAAGGCTGCATGACAGAAAGATGTCTGTGCACAAGGGAAATTAATACAAAAAGGGACAGCTGAAAGTTGCAGAATATTAGCTGAAAGAAATGGTGCTCCACCGCTACACAATGCTACACCGATTCATTAGCATCCAGTTTAGTGGAATGTTTTTAACACTTTTTTGGATGGAACAAGCTTGTACACTATTTGTTCTTGTTTGGTAGCAGCGACTTCAGGACTTAAAGGCCACAGAATTACTCTAACACACATTAATGGGATAAACTTGTGGGACTTGTATATTGATAAATATATGTAGAGAAGATGGGAAGTTCTGTATTGTCTCGGTCTTAAACCTAAAGGTCTGACACCAGTCTAGAGCTTGCTTACGAATCCTGGTGCATGTATGAGTGTATCTTTGTGTGTGTGTGGGTTAATTCCTCAAGGCTTTCCCTTGTAGGACATGAATCATTCTGATGGATCACACACACACAGTGACCTGTTCTGACTTTTCTCAAGACTGACAGCGATGCTCATGCGCCTGATCTGCAGACATGTATGTAAATGCAAATGCATGAATGTGCGCACACACACACACACACACACACACACACACACACACACACACACACAAACTGTACAATCCATTGACACTCTCGCAAAAATATACACCCGTGAAAAGGTTTGGTTCTGCTTTCAATCAAACCAACAGGTGTTTACAGTGTTTGTGTGCAATGGGTGTGTGTGGGTGCATGTGTGAGTATCGAGGTAGATAATTTGATGATTGGATGATGCGTGTTTACACAGCTTCATAGGTGAAAGGCTGGAAGACACTGATATAACAAGATGGGATAATGATACTCTTGTCAGGTTTTTTCAGCAATAGCCATTTAATGCGTTTTGTTCTATAATTACCTACCTACATGGTAGTTTTGACTGTTGGTGGCGGAGTCCGCCATTCCGCACTGGATTTAGGCTGCCATACGACCCCCATCGGAAATGATATATGTAATCGATGTCATGTAACCACTCTCTTAATGCTGTATTTGAGCTGTATTAAGTTACTTATTCAAACCTAACATTGCCTGATGTTTCACAATAAAAGCATTCACCTGGCAAGTTACAATAACTGGATACACAATAATTTTTTGACAGCAGACAATCTTAAATATTATAGGGAGTAAGGGACTTCCTTATTAAAACAACTTTGGCTTGTTTGTCAGTACTGTAAGCAAATGCTCTGTTTCTTGTTGTTGCTCAGGAATAGTCAACTGTAGAATTAAACCATTAC